CGTGCGTGCGTGCGTGCGTGCGTGCGTGCGTGCGTGCGTGCGTGCGTGCGTGCGTGCGTGCGTGGACGGGCATGCGCATGATAGATTGTCGTTACTCCGTGTCTGTCCTCAAAGTAGCGAACTAGAGCGTCGCGTCGGTGTGCGGGTACGCCGTCCGAGAAGAGGGCTTTTACTCTTAGAACTTTCCGCCGAGCTCCGCAACGGAGTCTTCGGCTCAGCGGTGTGCATGAGCGTGCATGATGATTCGCGAGGTCCCGACGCCGAGTCGGCCTGTTGAATTGGCTTGCTAAGTTGGCCGCTTGCTATCTCTCTCTCCGCGGCTATCGGGCCTGCCCGACCGCCTGGACGGTTCAATCGCGCAGCTATCGTTCTGCTGCGTTAGAGTTAACGTTTTCTGTCTAATGATAATCTTTGTTTTTGCTATCTCGATGCTTTCTGTTATTGTGCTGTCCTTCGCTTCTGCCTAGTAAACACGCTTATTAATTACTTAGTGGAGATAATTGTGTTCAAGCCCTGCCCTCGAAGATCCCGTCCATACTCCTGTTAACCGACCCTTCCCATACCCCACCCCTCTGCCGTTAGGTAGAGCTAGCCAGCCCTCACGCGAGCGAGAAACGGCTCTCGGTTGTTGGTGACCCTTGGTGCTACTGGAGTCTCGCGGTTTCCGCGTGGTTTGCGTTCCCGTTCGCGGGATTGACGTTGCTTGGAAGCACGTCTGGCGCCCAACTTTGTCGCGGCTCTCGATTCTCGCTCGACCGCGTGAGGTACCCTCCCGTACGAGGGCCGTCGCCGGCCCTCCGATCCGATTGATCCGCCGTTCCCCGGAGTGCGCCCCCGCGCGCGTTCCGCACCTGATCGACGCCTGGGGAAAGGCGCGACAGTGCATATTTGGTGTTATAGCCATATTTTAAACCTAATGCTTTGTGATGTGCTGAAAGCAAACATCAAGGCTGCTTCACTTTTTTCATTATTAAATTCGATATCCTCCTTTTTTAAAGAACCGTATCAACGCATGAACATTTGAGAGTCCAGTTCTAATGATCTCAAACATAGGAAGATACAGAGTATTGGCGCAACTCGTTGGTGGGCCAAGGAAACAGCGTTAAAAAGAATATTTGGAGAGCTTAATAAACCCGAAAATAGTTTATATGTTGATGTTATTGACTCTTTACAAAGAATTGAAAGTAACACTAAAATTAATCCTGAAGCCAGAACTGTAGCTAAAAATCATAAAGATGATCTACTGAAATACGAGAATATAATAACGGCTCAAATATTTTTAAGAATTTTTAGTATAACTGGTCCTCTATCAAGATATTTGCAGACCAAAGGTTTAGACCTACTTAAATGTAATCATATGATTGAGACTGCTATTAAGCAGCTTAGGTCTATCCAGAGAGACTTTATCGCTATCCAAGAGGCAACAAAAGTATTTATAGAGTGGGCTAAATCAGAATTATATTCAAGAAATATAGATGCAGACATTCAAGAACAATTCTTTGAAATGCGTCGAAGAAGTGTAAAAATATTTTTTGACGAAAAAGCATCTGACGAACAACGACAACTGCAGAAGAAAAATTTTAAATATCTACGTTCAATGTATTAATGGATACTGCCGTTGAAGTTATGAGCAAAAGATTTTTGAAAAATATGGATATATGCAGGGATCTAGCAATTAGACCCTAATTATTTTGAAGAAATACGCAGTAAGAAAAATCTACCAGATAACTGCATGAATTATTTATCTGCAAAAATAATAAAGTACAATTCTTCTGCAACTTCTTCAAAGTTAAAAGAAGAACTTGTAAGTTTTGCAACAAACTGGGAAAAATTAAAATTAACTTTGGAAGATACGTATAAAATAAATTATAACCCAGATTTAGATGATACGTATAATATTGATAATTCAGACTATGTAGAAGTTCATGATGCTGAAATTTGTAGTATGGAAAAAGGAAAAAATACTTGCAAGAGTTGCAAAAATTGTGCAAGATGCTGCTATGTAATAATTTTAAAATACAATATGTTTCAGGGAGCGTATTCTGTACTTGCTACAGCATATCAGTATCTTTTAACACTTCCAATATCACAAGTAGAATGTGAGAGATCATTCTCAATTCTTAAGTACATAAAAAATAGATTAAGAAGTCAATTGACGGATAACCGAATGGAATCTTTTATGATTATGAACATAGAGAAATCAATTTTAAATGAAATTGATAATCACGAAGTTATTAACAGTCTGGCAGTGCAAAGTACGTTACTGAAAAAGTCTACCGATGGAACACGTCTACTTGCAATGTTATAACGGAGCATCGGTTGCAAGAGGGACATGAGTTCGATTGGGACAACGTTGCAATACTGGACGAGGAACCACACTACCGGAAGAGATTGACTTCGGAAATGATATTCATCAGGAAACAGACTCATGGACTTAACATGCAAGCGGATACGGAGGGGCTTCCCAAGGCCTACCTCCCGATTATTGATAGACTATAAAAGGTCGAATTGTTGTCGCGCTTAGTCAGTCAGTGTCGCTCGTACACAGGAAGAAGTCTGTCGGGCGTTGACTTTAGATCATTTTCAAAATTCCTTTTCTTGATTTTGATTAATTTTTTAACGCTAGTTTTCTAATTACTGTCTCAATAAAGACCAATTAAATCAATAAGAGACTAACTGTGTCTGACACTGACTGGCCAACTTATCAGAAACCGGTTTTTGAATTATTAAGAGTAATGTTTGCGATGCGGTATCTTGCGATGCGGTATCTTGTGATCAGGGTGAGCTTCCTAACCATCGGAATAATTAATTATAATTTCAAAATTTTTTGATACATTAGTTTTACATTTTCTTTATTTCGAGAATTTCAAAATTTCTTTTCCTTTTTTTTTCTTTTTTACTGCATTCTTATCTGGATTTAATTCTGGCATTTATACTCTCGAGGTGAGGAAGATCACCATGACTAGTTAATAATTGTTATATTCTATGTATGTGAATTTATTAGTTGTCTCTGAAGAAAGCTCAAAAATGAGCCGAAACATGTAAGCGCTTTAGTAAAATAAAGAAGTTTTACGCTACGATAGTCGTGTTATTTGTGCAACGTCTCCCGCGCTTGACTCCTACTGCCCTTGTTCTTTCATTGTTTTTTGATTTATAAGGAGTCTTAGTCAGGTTGATTTATTATACGTTATTGAAAAAGGTTTTAATTTATTAAGTTGTGGCAATACTAAAGTATTAAGATAACAATTTTCTGTTTTTGTTCCTTATTATTTATATTATGGTTTATTTTAATTTTGTGATATAGTACCAAAGAGAAAAGTTTATTTTGTTAATTTATTAATAGATGTTCCTTTTTAATATATTATGAAATTTTGTTTCTCCTCCCCCCTTCCTTATAGAAGATTTTGATCAGGGCCGGCCGGATTTATTAGTTTCCCGGGCCGGAAATTATACCCCATCCGTCCCTGACAGTATATAATAATATACATCTAACAGTAACTATATTACCTGACATCTCATTATATAGTAGCATCTTTGTGAAAAGTTATCGAGTGTATCCCATTGTACCCCGTGGTTTCATTGTGTCCCAGGTTCCTCTACTAATCTTCGATTGAAATATTTGTTTCTTACTGTTGCACTGGACTACTCTAATCCTCCTTGCTTTTATCAAATGTTAAACATATTTATTCTATTTTAGATATGTATATATGGGCCCTTCAGCTGTAGAAAGAAGACACATGTATAGCTTTCCACTGAAGACTCAATGTGGCTGTTTTAATTAGGTGGAGGTATCATCAATCAGAAATCGCGATGCGATGTCGCTTTTCTGATATATATAGGACTCTACAAGAATGTAATGATGCACTATGTCACACCGTGTCATGTGTGTCTCTTGTTGGAAGGCACCTATATACAGCAGACGACGTGCTAGCGTCGCCATTTTTAATTCGCCGCGTCAATGTTATGTATAGCGTATGACACGTGGCCGACGTTTTCTCGCAGTTTTGATCGCAGAAATTATTTGCAATTGTTAAAAAACTTTTGTTAAAACATCAAAAGGTAAAAATTATTGATGAGGCATTGCCCCCCCTCCCCAATAATTTTATTGAGGGTGCAAAAAGTGATCTGCCCCCTCTCCGTAGTCGGCGTCTATGTAAATAAACTTTATTTAATAATAAAATAGAAATTCGAACAAGGCTAATGAGAGTCAAACGCTGATGTAAGAGCGAAGAGTTAGGAGATGCAGATAATACTCAAATGTTAATGTTATCTTCATTGGTTATCTACAATTTTAAACGACACGTCACAACAAACTGACACGATTCTATAATCTGAGAAATGACACGTATTAAATTATATTTTAATTTTTTAAATTGTGAATTAATATTTCTGAACTTCGTTTTTTGTTTCCCATTGAATGTATTGATTACTGCATTTTTGTCAATCTGCAAGTGACTTGCTTTCAATGGAGGATTTTATATTTCTGATTTTCGCTGAGGCTGACTCCAAAATGAGTCGAAACGTTCGACACAATAAATGAAGATAACCATTAACACCTGAGTATTATCTGCATCTCCTATAACTCTTCGCTCCTACATCAGCATTTGACTCTCATTAGCCTTGTCTGAATTTCTATTTTATTGTTTAAGATTGAGAGTCCTTATTTATATTTATGTAATTGTTTAAACATTATTTGAATATAAATTTATTTGTATATAAAAGGAACCTTGTTATATTACCTTTTATGACCGGGGCAAGATTGGTTCGCAGAGCCAATATCGAATGAGACAACTGAGTATTTGTCGCTAATGCGTTGTCTAATGTATAATTTTCTGGAATTATTACTTTAGGTATGATATTCACTGAATAAGAATGAATTATCTAAAATCATAATACAAATCACATATGTATGTATATATATATATATTTATTATATCGACTTACTTGTAGTTTAAGAAGATCTATAGATTGTATGTTTCAATACCTGTTCGTCTAGAATAGTCACTGTTCGTTGAAGTACACCACTTTCAGCTTTTAGCCCAGCTCTCTCCGCTTTGCAACGCTTATATAATGTACTCTTAGTCTTTAAACGATTGATATATTTTTTCAATTCTTCTGCTCTAGGTATTGACGTCTCCAATAAAGTTTTTGAATAATCTTGTTTCTCTTTTAATCGTGATTGTAATTCCTCTAAGTAACTTTCTATTTTTTCTAAACGTTCAAGAGCATTCCGTTTCATATTTCCGACAGCAGCAGCTTGTTGTCTGAACGGTCCCACTTTATCGATATCATTTTTAGTTATCTAAAAATAACATATTAAATAAAATACCTTTTAAAATCGTAATGTGAATACGCAACAACTAAGAAGTAAAAACTTTAAACGAAAGCTTAAACAAGCTGAATCTTTAGTGCTTGAATAATTTGTAAACTGTATACATAACAAATCCTGTTCGCCGAATTTAATTTTCAATCTTGAATCATTATTTTAAGAGCTAAAATAGTAATATCACAAATTATCGACAAGCAATTAATAATATTGATTTAATAATATTGATTTTAGCAATTAATATTAAATTATAAGAGTAAAAAAAAATGCCTATAAGAGTCGACACAAGTTATTTGTGTGTGAAGAATGTAATGTTTATTAACAGAAATGTAAACGTTTCGACCACATAATTTTGGTCATCTTCAGTAATTTATGACGCAATATAAACTGTACGCTATTAAACTAACAATAAGTTGATTGGTAAATATATAAAATAAAAAATGTGTCCAAATTTAAAATCTCGAAACGTCATAGTTTTATTTGTTTGAATACTGTGTACGTGAGTTAATCGATAAAATGATACCATTGTTATAATAATACAAATTCTAATAAGCAGAAGTCAATCTTGGAATTATAATTAAAAGTGAATTTACATACTGTATATGATTTTAAACTGAAGAAGACTCTGTGAGTCGAAACATTTTTGTAATTAAATTTGATATGTTGTTTAATGTATAAATAATATTTTAATTTTTAACGCCTAAAGTTGCTCATTTATTAGTTATCTCCGAAAGATACTTGTTGTACTATTGCAAATATCGAGCATTATTTACATTATTTGATTGCGCTGAAAGTCCGACAACCATATCAGCACGCAATTATAATTTCTGAAAATTAATTCATTTAAAAATGAATTTAAAATAGTTTAACATCTTAACGTTCAGACCGTTATTGGCGCTTCTTAATGTATTTATTTACATTACTTTGTTATATTGTTATACATACTTTAGTATGAGAATAAAAATTTGAGTGTGTTGACACAAATGTAGTCTACAAAATCAACTGTGCTAATTGCGAGGCGTTTTACGTTGGCCAAATGGGTAGATCACTAAAAACTAGAATCAGTGAACACACCCTAGCCACATTAACAGGAACAGCTCTTAACTTCGATTATAACTGAACACAGAATGAACACAGGACACAGTTTTGATTGGAACGAAATTAAAATTTTGGACGAGGAAAAATCGCTACATAAGAGATTGATCTCTGAAATAAATTTTATCCACAAACAAAAACGGGGTCTAAATTTACATAGAGACATAGAATTATTAGACCCGTTGTATCGTGACCTTTTTTCAAAGTCTTGATTCTCTCACCTCTCTCAGCTTATTTATCATCTTATTATTTTTCTGTCTTTATATCATTTTCTGATTTGTTCTTGTATATTGAATGGTAACGAACCTCGTGTGTATTGTCACGCGCTATTCTCATACTAAAGTATGTATAGTATGTAAGTTCACTTTTAAATATATTTCCAAGATTGACTTTTGCTTATTGGAATTTGTATTATTACAGCAATGGTATCATTTTATCGATTGACTAACGTACATAGTATTCAAACAAATACTATGACATTTCAAGATTTTAAATTTGGATACATCTTTTATTTTGAACATTTACCAATCAACTTAATTTAATAGCGTACAGTTTATATTGCGTCACAAATCACTGAAGATGACCAAAATGCTGTGGTCAAAATGTTTAAATTTTTGTAAATTTTAATAAACATCACATTTTTCACACACGAATAACTTGTGTCGGCTCTTATAGGCATTTCTTTTTACTCTTATGATTGTATATCAGTTGAGCCTTTACACTTTTTGTAATAATATTAATCTTACTTGTTGTGTATTCACATATATGGTCTTAATAAATCATTTATTATTAATAATATTGATGCTTAAGGCATCTGAAAAATAATATATTTATAAGAAATAAATAAGACTTGCCACATACAATATGTTATTATAAATACATAAATCATTTCTCTTATTCAAACATTTTATGATTTCATTTTTGATGCATACTTACTTTAGATTCTATTAAATCTTGTATAGCCTTTGATATAGCATCTAAATTATTTCTCATAGTCATAATTTTATCCGCGCCTAAATAGGAATATTCCTTGAATAATGATAACGCTTGTATCCGATTCTTTTTTGCGTTTAGCTCAGATGGAAGCTTCTCTTTTACAATTGCAGATTGTACTGTTACTTCCTCTGTCAGATGTTGGATTAATATTTGTGATGTGAGTACGATACTGTTGCGTTTTAGAGTATATAATTCACGTTCGACTCGTTGAAGGGAATTCTGGAATTAAAATTAAGAGAATAAAAGCATTTAAAGACGACAAGATGAAGAACGGGGGTAGTTTAAGGCCAAAATTTGCTTGTGATGAAAACGTATGAAATCGGTCAATCTTTATAGATTTGGACGTGCTGAACTCAAATTTTAAGCTGTACTTTGCAGCAAAATATTGTATTTCCCGATGAACAAATAATTGAACAAGAAATCTCTTTTTCCATTATAATTACCTCAAAAACTACAACTTTTTCGCAATATAAAGGTCAATGTTAGGGTGTACAATAACATGAACAAAACAAAAATGAATGTCCGCACCTCCGTGCGTGGGCATGCGTGCGTTTCTGCTTTTTCATCATCAGCGTTAGCTTTATCTAAGATACACCGCGTGGTGGTTACTGGAATTGGATATCTCTTACAAGAAAAGGGACCCTACTGTCTCCCGCCGATCTTAAAGAGCTGTTAGTATGTTATTCTCAAAATAAAAATAAGCGACACGTATTTTTTTATACGTGCCCGCTTTCACTTTTAAGGAGTGAAACACCTCTTCGAAAAAAATCGGTTCTTCTGTTTCGAAACGAATATCATTGAAACTGTAAGCGATAGAAAAAAATATTTAAAATTAAAGTAGCATGGTTCCAAGAGTACCTTATAATAGAAAAAGAAAAATTTTTTAATATTTCTTTCAAAAAAAATTTTTTAAATAAAAAAAATTTTTTTCTTATATTACGACTGCCCTGCGTAGAAATATAATTTTTCTTCTTTTTTTGCCTTTTTGTTTCGCGCTAAATTAATTTTCGTTATTTGGTTCACATCATCTATCTAAAATTTTCCTATTAATTAATTGCGGATATTCCTAGAGAGAAACTTATTCGGCGTAGTATTATTCCGTCATGCCGACATCGCGTGACATATGTGTCGCGTAGCTCGAACCAATCGAAGCAACCGCGAGGCGCGTGCCGCGTGCCGATGTATTGCGACGAAATTCCAAGAAGGATCACTCCGCGCGGAGTTAAAGAATCATTAACATGTGCTGAGACTGTCATGTCATTACCATCCTACATTTCGAAGTCTCGCGTTATGTTTAATACATTTTTGTTTAATTTATTATCTTTTGGCCATCGTGACCGCCTTAATTAGCCTAAAACAGATAAGTAAAAGTAGTATAGTAATAGGGATTCTAACCCAAGGGGCTAGAGGGGGGAGCGGGGCGCGGGGGGGTATTCGTAGGCGCGGGGAGGGAAGGGAGGGGATATCGCGGGGAAGACTGAGCATGG